CAGTAATGTACAGTACATCTCTAATGTATGCAGCATGGACACATCTAGTTATGTCCAACTCTTTATTGTATTAAAAAACCTTTTCTTAACATAATCAGTGAGAGTATTAGGACAATTTTGCTACAGAAGGTCCTTGAATTTAATGTTAACTACAGTGTGGGAACCCTGCTTGACATACTTTGTATTGTTACTATTGTCTTTCTTTAAATCATGGTCTGTTTCTGGGTACCTGCAACATGATAGACAATAATGTCTAATTGAAGGTTGTTTTTTTGTTCTCTTCATGACACGGGCAACAACACTCCGTGCTCTTGCTGCTGTCCATACTGTATCCCCTGAAAGAGCCACGCAAATACATAAATCTGGAGTGCAGTGTGATTTCAGGTAAGTTAAACACCTGAGGAGAGCCAAAGAACAGCATTCACCTGCATGTTTGTATGTATGTTTAATGATTATTTCTTATCGTGTATTGGTGTAAATGTCTTTAATGATTAATTTTTACTTTTCTACTTATTTTTCCGTCAGTGAGACGCAGCTGATGGGTCGCCAAATGGAGTCTGGTTTAAGCGAGGAGGCGAGGCAAAGTGTGAAAACACACATCGAAAACTTGAAAAAGTTTTGGCCAGAATTTGTGAAACGTTTGTGAACTGTGTTAATAAAATCATCTTAAACTTACATTATTTGTGTGTGGAACATTTTTACATGTTAATGCAGTGTGCTGTTTAAGACTCAAATGTTGCCCTTGCTAGCAGAAGTTGTGTACATATCCATACGTCCAAGGTCAGATGGTCCTTTATGGTTTTCTATTAAAGGTCTCTTAAGCAGTTTGATACCTGCCAGTCCATCAGTCAATGGTTCCACCACACCGCAGCCCTGCCGTGGTCCTCACGGTCAGATGCGGGCAGAGGTTCAACTCTGCCCCGCTGTCAATCTGTCGAGTTGTCTTTCCACTGATCGCCGTTTCTACTGCAGGACTGGGACCACAACGCCGCGCCTTCACCTTGGTCTAACAATCTGCTCTTCTCCCACCTGGCTCTTGCGTGTTTGTCATTTTTTCTTTCTTTCTTTCAATCTGAGTCCTCCACAGACTTTTCTGTCTTCTGTTTTTCCAGCAGGTGTGTGGCACGTCCACACTTCACAGATGACTGTCACCAAACAATTTGTCCATTTCCAGAGAGTCCACAGTGGATTAAAACATGCACAGAAGAGACAAGCCAAAACACATATACATCATCACATGGTCAAAAAACAAGTTTCCACTGTGTGACATCAGCACAACATACAAGATGTGTGTATACACTAACATGCAAGGTGCCAACCAGCTCACCAGAGGCATCAGCACATTCACACTCTGATGCACAACATCAGGGGTAACTAAGGGTTCAGTGCCTTGCCAAAGACCACCAGACATGTGGACAAGAGGAGAGGCCAGGAATCGAACCACCCTGCCTCCTGAGTCATAGCTGCCCATCTGTATGTTTACGTCCATTCTAAAGGAAGTACAAATAAAAAACAAGTTGTGAAATACTTCTGACAAGAAAACATTACAGTGTGTGAGTCCCTTATGGACCTTGTAATTTTGTAAAGTGCAACTAACTGGAAACAGAACGGTAATTATTCCATAGGACATACAGTATTTGAATATTTTTTGATTTACAGGTCCTTAGTTTTCATTCAAGAGTTTTAATGAAGTACTCATGGGTTGTTATACATACTAGTTTCTCTTCTCTGCTCCGTCTGGGACTTCTCCCATTAACAAGGATTTCGCTGGCAAATTTTTAGCCGGGCCAATCAGAGAAGAGGACGTCAAGTTTCTGTGCAGTGTCTGCTTGTAGTTTATTTTACCTGGGCCAATCGGCAAACAGAAGGAGGAGCTTTGAATGACGTAGATGTTCTGCGCAGTGTCTGCTAGTTATTTTTTTAATCTTTTACTTTAAATTTGACAGATGTACAAAATTATAATAGAAAATAAACTGTTACAAAAATACATAAGCAACAAATATGTAACATGAATATAAACAAAATATCACAAAGGGGTTTGGTTATGAGATATTAAAATTTTTAAAAATTGTTCTTATTTCAAGTTTCTGATTATTTAAAGTGAGTTTTTCAATAGAGGCAGTGTATATTTTTAAATCAGACTCTTAAAACTTATTCCATGTGGGGCTTTTTTCACTCCATTTCATTTTGTGGATATAATATTTTGCCAAAATTACAATAAGATTAATTAAATATATTTCATCTGTTGAAAAGTTTGCCTGATCCTAGCATCGTTTGTGAGATGATCGCCGCCGGAGCCGGGCCAAGGTGAGTGGGGACTGGGGTGGAGTCAGGAGCAGGTGCACCTTAGGTGGGCTTGTACAAGAGGTGAGGGTGGGTGAGGAGGCTGGAGGTTTGAACTTAGTGCAAAAAGTAAAGTGGACTAAGAACTAGGCCGATAAGGGGCCTGGGTCTTGTGTCCAGTCCGGAGCAGGTGCACCTTAGGTGAGTCTGTATAAGAGGTGAGGCTGGAGGTTTGGACTTAGTGCAAAAAAAGAAAGTGGACTTAGTGCAAAAACCATAGATCCAGACCCAAGACCGGGCCTTGTTAGCAGCCTAACCGGGCCTAGGAGTGGTGCACCCGGGCATGGTGTACACCGTTGGAAAGGTCTGGATCTCAGCTACAAGTTGGTAGGGTCCCCCAGTCCGGGGCACTTTCCCCCAGGGAGCTAAGC